AGTTTGTTTACTTATCAGCCTTATGTCTCCCTATGTAATTTCAAAAGTATATGTATTCGTGTATGTAGAGTATTCAGCTGACGAGTTCTACCGAAATTTGATGAATTCATTAAATCCTGCTTTATTAACCTTTATTGCTTGTTTTAAATTCGTATCGGGAAATAAGTGTTTTCAAATTAGAATTTGTTGACTGTTTGAAAGAAGTGAAAGTAGGCGACAAATTCATAATGTCAGTGGATGTTGACTTGCTCTTCGCAAACGTCTCAATTATGAAACGATTTGTTTCCTGTGTAAATATTTGGAAGATAACAACTGGAATATTGGAATACTGACCTCTCTGTTAAAAGAACTTCAACCCAGATGCACTACGAACGTCCGCATTCATCGGTGTTATTTTTAAACAGCAAGGCGCTGTAGCTATGGGATCATTATTAAATCCGGGTCATGCAGATATTTTCATGGCAAGCTGTTTTTCTGTACTGAAGGTATGTTAGTGATACTTTTGTCATTTGTGACAATAAATGTGACCTCAATAATGTCCTACAAGTTTTCTAATAGTTTCCACCCAGCCATCAGGTTTATTGCTGAAATAGATACCAGATAAATAATATCCTTCTCAGATGTTCAGTCAGCAAAGAAGGCTGATGGGACGTTGTGTAACAGCATAAAAACATGTATGGATAAAGCATTAAATAGCGTTTCCTTCTTTCCCTTCCAAGAAAATACCCCTTAAGTCAATTCTGTGACGCAGGAAGAAAATCTAATATCGAGAATTGATTTCAACGAAGACAAGAAGATGATTGCTTGTAAGTGCGTGGGCCGCGCATCCTAAATCTTGGATCGAACTGAAAACATGTTCCACTTTCCTTCTTTGTATGACTGCTGGTTATTGTCTTATATTTGAAGAGCTCAGTATATTGAAAACCTACATGCAACGACCAGTTGACAAACTTTAATATTTGGATACCTATAAGTTGCAAGCAAAGTCTGATAACATCTCGTGAGATCTGCATTCCACCGATCTACAGCACTCACTCGGTAGATGAAGAAATCACTCTTTTGAGGAAGACGTTAAGTGAAAATGGCTGCTCCGACGCTTCACACATAAACGCATAAAACCCAAAAACTAACAAACGAAACCCCTTCTATGCTCTGAAGAGGATGCTATACATGTGCGCCGGTGGCACAGTGGTTAGGACTCTCGCCGACCATGCACATGGTCCGAGGTTCGATCCCCTACCGATGCACACATGATATCTATGGTCGGCCTGCAAAATTTGGGCTACCGATATCACATACTGAAAATTCCACCCCTGTGCCAAAATACTATGTGGAAGTAAGGTGTAATCAAAAAACAAAAAAATGTATGGTTCAAGGGTGACCTGCTGACCGACACTTTAAAGAAGAGAGTATCGAAGAACTTGAAACGAACATTTTTTGCTTCTACATTAGGATTGGCATTCTCCTACCACCCAGTATTCTTCAATAACTCTAAAAGTAAACTGTCGCATTTAAGCACTTCTGTTTGTATCTACCAGTTCACTGGCTTCTTTAAAGGAAGACATAAAGGTTGCTCGGTGAGTGTTTCACCTAAAAGCGTTAAGGAACATTATCTCGCTTGGTTACATAAAAGACACAATAGATCGATAAGGAAGATCATATTTCAAAGTATATTCGACAACTGCGACTCAATATGGGAAGAAAATTCATTCACAGTTACTTACAAAGTGAAAATAAGCCTCCTGAAAACCCTTTGCCTCCGTATACTTTGCATTTCTGAGGTTTAATTGAATCCGATGGAAAATCCTGATTTATGTACACGGAATTAAATGTCTTGTGAATTATAATTTCTGAGTAAGTGGGTGAATGGTAAAGGGGTTTGATTCGTAACGTGAACGTTTTAACCTCAAGCCCTCATAGGATCATGATTTCGGATGGCTGAAGAGTTCAAAATAGAATGAAACAAATATCTGTGTGAAATATTCCGGTATCATGCATTAAAAGTCAATTTGAAGGAAGAATATTCTTTTCAATAATTTCTCTTCAGGTTATTACAATTATAAAATAGAATATGTTTTTGTTATAAGGATGGCCAGTTATGAGGTAGATACCTTTTTTAACGTAGAATAACAGATTAGTTAACTTAGGGTGTCAAAATAAATAGTCGTATTTGTGTGACAAACGTGCTAGGCTGAAATCGATTACAAAATATTGTGAAATGGGAGACAATGGTGGTGATTAGTCATAATGCGTAGTTTCGTGGAATGTGGGGTAGGAAGAAATGACAAGTGAGTTCAAGGTAATAAAAAGTGTTAGGCGTGTAGTCAGTACAAATTATAAAATGCTCGATTCTGTCACACTTGGTCGATACTAGACGTCGCATCGACGCCAACACAGCTTTCGGCGTTATATACCGAATTCCTAAGTCGTTATCACGTACAGTTTGCTTACGTCTCCTACACATAGGTGAAGCTGTTGCAATAAGATCGACTAAACCGAAGCATTGTATCCCAAAAGAACACGTCCAAACTCTGCTCCTACCGCGGCCAAACTTGAATTAATCATTCTTCTTCCCACTAAGAGTACCTGTCCCCCTTATCCTTCTTGGGGTGTTTCTTCTTTTTCTGTGCTTATTATTACAATTACTATTATTATTCGTTTAATTGAATTTGAGATTTTCCCGTCGACTGATTGGACCGAAGTGCTCGGTCTTAGGTTGTCATGTCGGCTTCTTGTGCAGATGCTCGTGGCCCAAGTAGTCTAGTGGATAACGCTTTGGCGTTTGAAACGATGGGCACTGGGTTCGAGCCTTGGTGAGAACACCATCATGAACTCACTGGGGAATACAGGTACATCCAGATGATGAGTCCCACATAGGACAAAATGCGCGTCCTGGATTCCACTGCTAGTCACTATCCACATATTAAATACTATTATTATTCGTTATAATTTATGCTATTCATTCAAATATTCTCTCAATACTATCGAATTTTCCATTTATACTGTCCAGAGTTATTATCAGTAATATTATCTTTGTGCGTCGGTGGCACAGTGGTTAGGACTCTCGCCGACCATGCACATGGTCCGAGGTTCGATCCCCTGCCGATGCACACCTGATATCTATGGTCGGCCTGCAAAATTTGGGCTACCGATATCACATGCTGAGCATTCCATACTTGTACCAAAAATACAGTGTGAAATCAAGCTGTAAACAAAAATGAAAAATATCTCTTTTCTTAATATACACCTCCACCTGTTTCATTTCACACATTTGTTATTTCATGATGAACCTCTCTCCTGTTTAATATAGACCACTTTGTACTAGCCTCTCACTCACCAGACACCTTTTATAACCTTGAACTCACTTGTCAATTTTCCTACCCACACTCTACAATTCTATTATGACGACTAATCACCACCATTGTCTCCCATTTCACAATATTTTGTAATCGATTTCAGCCTAGCACGTTTGTCACACAAATACGACTATTTATTTTGGCACCCTAAGTTAACTAATCTGTTATTCTACGTTAAAAATGTATCCGCTGCATAAACAGTCATTAATGTGACGACGACAAATATTCTATTTTATAATTGTAATAACCTGAAGAGAAATTATTGAAAAGAATATTCTTCCTTCAGATTGACTTCTAAAACAAATTTTTCTTTAGGGTTCCTACTTGCCCAATGATACATTCAATGATGGCAGTTCCTGCAGAAATCTATACCGAAGTTAATCGAAATCCGTAGAATCCTAAAATTTGAATATTAATCGGTATTTCCTACAGTGGATTGGTCTTCTTTGTTTTCCGCTACAGACAATAATTCGAAAGAAATACTGTAACTATTAGAAGAATATTTTCGAAAACAATTTTAAATGATCATAAGCATTTATTACAAATAAATTGAAATTAATAAATTTATTAAGTGTACATAAATGATACATTCATCAAAATCTTTTAGTTTTTAGTTATTTATTTGCAGGTATTTGTGTTGAAGTGTGTGTGTGTGTGTGTATACACTGTCATGTTTATGATGATAGATGGATATCCGCATTACTAAATAAAAGCTGAAGGATAAGCAGCATATCTGTGGCGCTTCACACAAACACACACATACGTGCACACAAGCATAACTTTGAATAATCCCCCGTAATGACTGACACTCAGAAATCAATTCAGGAAAGAAAATATAGTATGACAAAACTCGATGTTATTCAATTCGTCATGCTTCACTGTTTTCAAAACAGATTCTATTGAATTGCAGTTAATCGTTGATTAAGGCAGGGGTTGTGAGGTTGAGTAAGGATAAGCAGATTACTGATATTGTCCTAATGTGTTTTTTTTCTCTCGATTAAAATGCGTGAACTTTTAGAAGGTATCAAAGGCGTCAAAGGAATTGTTTTCATTCGCCCATTTATTAAATGATAAGAAAGGCATCGAAGATCTGTCAGATGAATAGAGGAGGAAGTAGAGGAAGACAAATTGGAAAGCTTGAAAGGATAGAAACAGAATCTATCGATCAGTTCAACTGAGATTGAATTCTGTATAGAAAAAAGACTCTCCCCTCTCTTCACTCCTCTTTTGATCGTGTTCCATTTTTTTCATCAAAAATTGGTAACAAGAAGAGAAAAAAAAAGACGAAAGACAAAACCATTCGAAGAATTGACAGAATAGCTACACAAAGTCATTCAAACCTTCCTTTTGTAAACATTATTTATTACACAGTGAGAATACAAAGAGATATATCCTATTAAAATGAATGCACACCACGTATAGAATCAAGTTATTACATAAAGCATATTGGCATAGAATAACACTTATTGTTTTTGTGTGATTAGATGTCAAGCTAGTGATGAAATTGTTTCTCATTATATAACAAATGAACAAGTAAAAAATCATCTGAGATAAAACAGAAAGCAGCAAAATTACTTGATATAACATAATTTTGATTGCATAAAGATTACATAATGTCTAAAATGTCAGTTATTTCTTCTTCTACTACTTATTATTAGATAAGTAGGTTGAAGATAATAATTGTGAAAAAAGATTTCTTAAAGATAAACGAAAGATATGCATAAAATTAAAAAATAATTTATTACTCAATGTTTGTATACGATTCAAAGTGAATAGCAGACAGAATTTCACATGCCCAAGTTGACAATAGCACGACTCCATAATTGTTTGTTGGTTAGATGAATTGATGTTGATGTTGTAGACGGTTTGATGGCTAATTGATTGTTTTATTGGTCCAATATTGTGATCATTAAATTTATCCATCCAGGGAACAGAATCATAATGATGATGTTGATGGTGACGGTGATGTTCATGATCATATGAAGGAAATGATATTAAGGATGGAGAGGTTAGAGGTGATTCTAAAATATAGCATGCTTTTTCATCATTATAGCTGTAACATTCAATCCATGCTAATAAAAAAATAATTGTGAAGAGAGAAAACAACGGGAAAACACATGCATATAGGAAAATTAAAAAAGTAAACTTAATTAGAACATAGTATAAGCAGAGCATGCAAAACCTACACTCTAGAAACACAGTCGCGTTTAACCGTAAGCAAACTACTATTGTTTATACTTTGGTTGGTTACTAGTTTGGGAATCACCGGAAGTACTCACCCACTGGGTTTCGAACCCAGGACCTTCCGGTTACAAACAAACAAGCTCGTATACCATTCAGACACTAGGACGTTAGTGCGTTTGTTGCACAGCGGTTAGGACGCTCCCCGACCATGCACATGGTTCGAGGTTCGATCCTCGGCCGACGCACTCCTTTATCTCGTTAAGCCAGAAAAAATGATGGTGAAGAGGGAAGGTTGGGCATGAGGCTAGCAACGCCATCCTGTAAAAATGAAACACTGCTACAGAAACTTCAAGCCACTAGCTTGAAGCCCTATGTTCTAATGGGAACGTGAAGGAAAAATCATTATTATTATTATAAGTTATTAGGCAGGAATCAATATCAAACAGAATTCTTTCAGTTAAGTTCGCAATTTTGGCCACACATGCTAGGTGACTCTCCATCGTAGGGAATTCTGAATTTATATTAAATGACTGGAAGCAATCGTTGGGAAGCTATGGACCTGGGTGCTGCGCTTGTTAGCATTCGTCAGCAAGGCGTATCGACGGCCTTGAAAAAAACTGAAGTCCTCTCACTTTTAGTCGGTACTTATCAGAGCTACATATATAAATAAATTTAAGAAAACGTGAACCTATAAAACTCAGTAATCAAGTTGAAGAGTTTATCTTTTCGACATTGTGGTAGTAACTGGCTTTTAATGAACTAGTTAAATAGACTGATAACAGCTAACTGAACTCTCAGTTTGTTTCTATGGATAACTAAGTACCACGCCTCAAGTTATTACAGTGTAGACGGTTAGGTGAACGAAAGCACTACGTTTAAAATTAGAATGGAATCCGACGTGCATCAAATAAATGATGATTAATCATATAGAAATTGTGGAGATATTGGGAAGTTCATGGCTGTGATATTTTTTTAGTGAAATAAATTTACTAAAATGGAAAGAAATGAGAAGTTTGAGAGCAGTAAAATTTGAAACTGTATAGTAATCATAACATTTAAATTGAGCAATGATAGTCTAGACATTGGTAATGAGAAAGAATTTTAACAGAGCTTAACAGAGCTTTAACAGAGCTCATAATAAAAGGGCAAAAAAAAAGAGTGAAATTAATATACAGGGACTAAAGAAGAGGATTTAGATGATAAACACACTTTCAAAATTATTATTTTTGTACACTTAGAATTCATGACAATCTATTCCTATACTGATTTCAAAATGTCTTTCCTCCTAGTTTGAAACTTTTCAACACTACGCATCTATGACTCCACTGGGGATCGAATCCAGGACCTTCAGGTTACGAGGTCAGCCATCCGGCCATTGAGTTACAATCCGACAGCCCACGAATTCTAATTACTGCTAACTTGCATTATACATCATAATCCTACAGCTTGTATCATCGATGCAGACCAATGAAGAATTCCACACTAGGAAGAAACGGCTGCTCAGTGCTCCCTGGATTTCAGCGATTCTGTAACTGATATTCCTCACAAACCGTTGGATAGAGTAAGATCGATGTCATTGGATCATAAGTCGAAAGTTTGACTTTTTCATACAATAGTCACAAATACTATTCCAAACAATCGGATGGTAGGTTTTTCAAGTATCTTAACTACTACAGGTAAGTGTCTAGTATGCTTCATATAACAGTATTTCTTCCTTTGATTGGTATCATTTTTATTATCGGAACTGTTTACAAGGTGAAATAGCTTATTTTTGGGACGCAGTAATTATTCCCCACACTAACTGTCTTTTGGCATTCAAAGAATGAAAGCTGTATTCATAAAGCATACCAGTCGTCCGATTTGAAAATATTGACGCAGGGGAAGCTTCTTTATTGTGGATATTATACTGAAATTATATAGCAGATAAGTTTATTTCACATAGCACGCAGTGATACAGTATTAGTAACTAGGTGACGTTTCAAGCCAGAAGTCTTAGCAGTGGCTGAGAAGACTTAAATAATGAAATTGAACAAATCAAGAAAGCATTACTAGTCAATCGTTCATTTAAAAGTGTATGACAACTAATAAGAAAATCAAAACAAGTGATTCAGCGAAGAAACTCTTTTCAACGAATTTATCATCAAGCTGTACAATCGTATATATATATGGTTTCTAAGATGTTATATCCGATGAGGGAATCGAATCATAGGTGTGAATGCATAAAATAATAATAGTATGAAATGCAATTAAAAACTAAAATGTTTGTGATTGTAGTCATAGTTAAATGTCAAGTGGCAAAGCGAATTAATGTCATCTATAGAATAATTCATAGGATGGATAGAACTTGAAAAAGGGTGTGCAATTATAGGATTAGTAGACAAGTCGAATAAAATGAAAACGTTACGCAATATTGTGTGAAATTTGATAGCATAAAATTTAACGTTGTAAAAAATAATTGATTTAGAATGACAAATGGAACAGGGGAAATAATACCGGAGACAGTTCAAAGTGAGGGTAGTAATAGTAACAATTGATGTAATAAGGAAGAGACTACAAATTGAATAGACAAAATGAAAAAATGAAAAATTGGTAGAGCTTCATCTCTGAGAATGGCCTTTACTAGTCGACCATTACTGTTCAATAACCTGAAGGACAAGATCCCGCTGTTGACCAACTTTATGTGCGTTGATTAATTCACCTGCTCGTGTGGAGCTAGGTATATTGGTCGTTCGACTACAGTTTTATGTCCAAGAGGGTGCAAGAACACTATCCTACATGGTTACGAAGAGGAGAAAGTGGAGCAATAAGAAGCGATATCATTAAACATCTGGTCGATAATGATCACCCTATCTCTATAGCCTCCGCCTTTTAAAGTCATTTACAAGGCAAAAAGTAATTTATCCAAATCACTACTCACCCGACTCATCTGTACTGCTGAGGTTTTGGCTATCGAAACAGAAAAGCCAGATCTCTCTGTGTACGGAAAAAGTTCGTTCAACCCCTCCAACCAATATGGTCTTAATCCCTATATGCTAAAGTATGGTAATCCCCAATCATATTTTAGCTCTACCAATTTTTCATTTTTTCATTTTGTCTATTCAATTTGTAGTCTCTTCCTTATTACATCAATTGTTACTATTACTACCCTCACTTTGAACTGTCCCCAGTATTATTTCCCCTGTTCCATTTGTCATTCTAAATCAATTATTTTTTACAACGTTAAATTTTATGCTATCAAATTTCACACAATATTGCGTAACGTTTTCATTTTATTCGACTTGTCTACTAATCCTATAATTGCACACCCTTTTTCAAGTTCTATCCATCCTATGAATTATTCTATAGATGACATTAATTCGCTTTGCCACTTGACATTTAACTATGACTACAATCACAAACATTTTAGTTTTTAATTGCATTTCATACTATTATTATTTTATGCATTCACACCTATGATTCGATTCCCTCATCGGATATAACATCTTAGAAACCATATATATATATACGATTGTACAGCTTGATGATAAATTCGTTGAAAAGAGTTTCTTCGCTGAATCACTTGTTTTGATTTTCTATATGTGAAAATGGGAATTTTCCATGAGTTATAAGAAAATAACGGAAATATTATAATTGATCAGAAATTAAAAGCCTCGATAACTCTACCATATAATGACGGAAATTCAGACGTCTTAACCAGGATTCTTAATACGGCATTTAAACCAACCAACCAACTGAATAGTAGACAAACCTTGTCAGTTTAAGGACACGACAAATCTAAATGAGGAAAACAATATTATGACTGTGAGGTCAGTTGTGTAGGCTATACCAGTAGATCTAAGTCACATAGGTTATCAGAACATTGGAATTAAGCTAAATCTAGACAACTTAACCACAATAAATTAAACAATCTCAAAAAATGCTTTATCACTGTATTGTATTCATTCACATACAACCACACATCTGAATTTGGAATGTATAAAAGTATTGAAAAGTAATAGATTTGGGTGGAGGTATAGGTTAATCCCCGAATCTTTTTCCATCGAATCAACATCAAACAGTTGCAATCTAAATGAGGCAGCACTCTTGCCGGATTTAGGAAAATTACAATAAACTTTAGGAGGGAGAGAATATATATATATACAAGGCAAATTATGAGCAATAAACTGTACTCGAAACTTCATTCACTTATGAACACTGTACCACTCTGTGTCACGTCAAATAAACTTATTCAGTATGGGATTGAATTCCATCACAGTATCCGTCGGTGGCTTATCGGTAGAATTCTCGCCAACCACGAATGAGGTCTGAGGTTCGATCCCCGGCCACCAGAGCACTTCTTTACCTCGCTAAGCCAGAAATAATACTGGTAAAGAGGAAAGGTTGGAAAGCATGAGGCCAGCAAACTCACCCCGTAAAAACAAATATTACTGCTACCAAAACTTCGAAGCTCTAGCTAGAAGTCGTATGTTCCACTATGAACGTAAAAGAATAAAATACAGTAAATAAGTAAAAATTTTAAAAAGTCCGAATTCTACACTTTCACTATGCTGAAATCACTCATTTATCTATAACTCTAGAGAATAAACCTAAAACTAGGCATTTGTTTAAAAGAAATAAAAAATATGGCGACCATGTTTATGTTACAATTTTGAAAAAGGTAATAAACAATTGATGAGAAGCTTTAAATTCCTTCCTGTGCATGATGCTGACGGCTGGATGTATGTAATGCATACTGCAGTGATTTGAATAAAGTGATTTACAGGGAAACAAAAGACGCCAGAAAAAACATTTAAAATGGTAAAATTTAAAAATAAAATTTATAGCAAATGGGGTGAAGAATGAATTAAACTTCCCATGTTTTTCTCTGTTAAACTCAGAGACTCAAATC